CTGCATGGCCCCCCCTCTCGGGCCCGGGCGCGCGGCGGCGTGCGGCCAGAGCGGCGGGAGCCGCGCGGCGGCGGGGCTGGGCGCTCGCGGGGGCCAAGCGGCTGCGAGGGGCGTGCACCCTTCCCCGCGCCTCCTCCCCGCGCCTCTGCCCCACGCCTTCTCCAAAATCCTGCTCTTTCTCCCCCCCTTCCCACCTCCTCATCACAACCATCCTCACCAAGATCATCGTCGTCATCGTCATCGTCATCGTCATCGTCATCGTCATCATCATCATCATCATCATCAGCAGCAGCAGCAGCAGCATCATCACCATCATCATCATCGTCATCATCAGCATCATCATCATCGTCATCATCATCATCAGCATCATCATCATGATCACAACCATCATCATCATCATCATCAGCATCATCATCATCATCAGCATAATCATCAGCATCATCCGCATCACCATCTTATTATTACTCATCATCGCCATCATCATTATCATCATCATCATCGTCGTCATCAGCGTCGTCGACATCACCACTACCACCATCACCATCATCACTATAAACATCATGAGAAAGCAAGGCCACCAAGCAGCCACCATCATCATCAACATCAACAGCATCATCAGCATCATCTTTATCGTCATCATCAGCATCATGATCATGATTTTCAGCAGCAGCAGCAGCATCAGCATAATCATCAGCACCATCATCAACATCTGCATACTTATCGTTATACTCAGCCTAAGAATCATCAGCATCAGCATCATCTTCATCACCATGATAATGAGCAACAGCATCAGCATCGGCATCCTCATCATCATCGCCGTCGTCGTCGTCATCATAATCATCGTCAGAAGCATCCTCATCATCATCAGCATCATCATCAGCATCAGCATCGTCGTCGTCGTCGTAGTCGTCGTCGTCGTCGTCGTCGTCGTCGTCGTCGTCGTCGTCGTCGTCGTCGTCGTCGTCGTCGTCGTCGTCGTCGTCGTCGTCGTCGTCATCGTCACCACCACCACCAACCATCATCACAAGGAGGATCTAAACGCGCCCAGAACCTTTCAAAAACCTTGCTGAGGCCTCTCGAGGCATCCAGAGGCGCAGAAAACTTGCCCAAAACGCCCCAAGGCCGTCCCAAGCCTTCGGGAGCGGCGGGCGAGGGAGGACGGAGGAGGCGGCCGCCGGGAGAGCCTGCTCCAGCGCACGTCGACACCACCACCCGCGCGGCCGCCAACCGGCGCTCCAGGTTCTGCCAGCCGCCCTCGGGGCCGAACCTGGCGGCGGCCTCGGCTCCGCTCTGCGCCGGATGGGTGGTCGTCGTCGTCGTCGTCGTCGTCGTCGTCGTCGTCGTCGTCGTCGTCGTCGTCGTCGTCGTCGTCGTCGTCGTCGTCCCCCACTGCTCCAGCCCCTGCCCCGCCTTCCCACACTCAAAATCGATCCCCGGGGCCTCGCCTGGAGCGCCTTCCGGCCAGGATTGCGAGCCGGATCCAGCCAGTGTCACGAGAGGCTCCCGCGCAGGGCCCAGAAGAGGAGGAGACTGACGTGATGGCCCCATTTTTCACCACCTCTACCATAGCCAGGAGAGGGAGTGCACGTACCCAGATAGCCAGGAGAGGGAGGAGGAGGAGGAGGAGGAGGAGAAGGAGGAGGAGGAGGAAGAGGAGGAGGAGGAGGAGGAGGAGGAGGGGAGGAGGAGGAGGAGGAGGAGGAGGAAGAAGAGGACATCCCCATCCTCCCGTCTCTCCCGTCCTACACATGTTAGTGGTAGTTGACAATTTGCCCATCATTATGAGGGAGGGTCCCCTCTTCTCCGCCCCTCTCTTCCCCCCTGAAGCCCCCAAGAGAGCGGCGCCGAGACCGCCCCCCACCCCTTTTCGGACCCGACGCTGGACGACGCGCGATGACGACGACGACGACGACGACGACGACGACGACGACGACGACGACGACGATGGCGGCGCCGGCGGCGACGAGGAAGGCGGCGACGGCGACGATGGAGTCGGGAGGAAAGCGAGGCTGCACAGGCGTAAATCAGAATTACGGCAAGGCTCTTGTTTCATTGACATGAACAGATCGCTGTCTGCTCTTGCTGGTTCCACGATTCCGTGCTTGCGCAGGGCTGTCATAGACTGACCGCTGTTTCCTTCATGCGTCTGCGGATATGGCCCCCGGTAGACAAGAATTCAAGCCGAAGAGGAGGAGAATGAGGAGACCTAGCGAGGGGGATGGGGAGGAGGAGAGAAGGGGGGGATGACAAGGGAGGGACGGAAGAGAGGGGTGTGGATGGGCGAGCGAGGAGGAAGGGGGAGGAGAAGAGGGAAGCGGAGGACGAGGAGGAGGAAGAGAGAGGAGGAGGGGAGGAGGTGGTGAGGAGGAGGGGGAGAAGGAGAGAGAAGGGGAGGATGAGAAGGACGGAAGAGAGGATGGGGAAGCAGGAGGGGGAGGAGGAAGAAGAGCAGGAGGAGGAGGAAAGGGAAGAGGGCCCGTGCGCCCCCTCGGGGGAGCAGAAGGACGAGGATCGGGGGAGGTTCGGGGGAGGAGCAGGAGCAGGAGGACAAAGGGAGGATCACGAGGAACAGACCTCTCACACGCGAACCTCGAAGTCCACCGGGCACCGATGTCGATCTCCTGGAAGGCAGACCTTGCGATGCCTGCGCAACGTTTTGCCGAAACAGAGCTGCTTTGCCTGCGCGCTCCCTCTGCCTCCCCGAGGCCCCAAGATGTGACCATGAGGCCTCAAAAGTTCTAAAGGCCCCGAACACCGCCAAGAGCGACCTGGGGGCGCTCCAATACGGCCCTGTGAAGCCAGAGCCATCGGAAACATTGTCGTGATTGGATGCGTCATCCGTCTCAAGCTGCTGTCGGCCGACGGCCGATGAGGGCGACGGACATACTTCAGATGGGCCTCAAGATAGCTCCAGAGACCCCGAGAAGATCACAGAGCGGCCTCGAGACGGCGAGGGGGGGGGCCAGAGATGGCCCAAGACCGCCCCTGCACGGCTCCAAGACGGACCCGACGCCCGCCCAGCCTGCCCGAACATGTTCTACTCATAGCTCGAGGGGAGCCCGGGCCGGTGAGGCCCCGCCGCGTAACAACTGCATGGTCACTGTTGAACGTTGCTGAACCACGGTGGGACCGTTGTGGCACTACGGTGGGCCCTTCTCCTGCTGCTACTTGTGTCCCTGCTCCGCCTCGTGCTCATCCCACTGTATCTGCTGCCTATCTTCCTGCTCCTCCTCTTCTTCCTCCTCATCATTCCCTCTCGTGCTGGTCATCCTGCTCCTCACCCTGGAACTGTTATCCCTCCTCCTCGTCCTCTTCCTCTTCTTCCTCGTCCTCCCGCCTCGTCCTGCTCCTCCTTAATGGTGGCCGACCTCCAACTGGGAGCCATCCCCCCCCCCTGCCCTCCTAATACTCTTTCCTCCTCCCGCTTCCTGCTTCCTGTCCTCCATCAAGGACGACAACACTCCAGATGATAGATTAGCCACACGTTCCTCATCCTCATCACCACCATCATAATCATCATCACCACAATCATCACCACCACCACCACCTCCACGACCTCCAACGCCTCCACCACCACCAACACCACCACCGTCGTCGTCGTCGTCGTCGTCGTCGTCGTTGTCGTCACCACCACCGCCACCACAACCGTCGTCGTCGTGAACGTCGTCGTCGGCGTCGCTGCCGTCGTCGTCATTGTCGCCATCATGCCCATCATCATCATCATCACCACCACCAACATCATCATCATCAGCATCATCATCATCGTCATCATCATCAGCATCATCAACATCATTACCATAATCATCACCATCAGCATAATCATCATCAGCAGCAGCAGCCTCAGCAGCAGCAGCACAAGCACAAGCACCAGCATCAGCATCAGCATCAGCATCAGCATTAGCATCATAATCATCATCATCATCATCATCATCATCATCGTCATCATCATCATCACCATCAACATGATCATGATCATCTGCAGCACCATCCTCATCATCACCATCATCAGCATCAGCATCATCATGTACAATATCAACAGCAGCAGCGTCATCGTCGTCATCATCACTAACATGCACCATCACCATCACCACCACACTAACCGCCATAATAATCAGCATCAGCATCATCACCAGCATCATACCCATAAGCAGCACCATCATCATCGTCCTCGTCGTCGTCGTCGCCATCATCATCATCGTCATATCATCATCATCATCATCATCATCATCATCATCATCATCATCATCATCATCATCATCATCATCATCCGCATCATCATCATCAGCAGCATCATTATTATAAGCATCATCATCATCACCATAACCAGCATCATCATCAGTCTCATCGCCATCACCAACAACATGATCAGTATCATCATCAGCAGCATCATCATAAACAGACTCAGCATCACCACCATCACCGACCATCACCATCACAATCACAATCACCATATCCGTGACCATCACCATCACTGCCATCACCATAATCATCAGCAGCAGCATCATCAGCAGTAGCAGCATCAGCATCAGCACCATCATTATCATCCTCCACGCCATCCGTTTCCTCCTCCTCCTCCTCGTCCCCACCCAACACTTCAAGAGGGAGGACAAGGAGAGAAGGCGGATGAGGAGAGATGAGGAAAGACGAGGAAAGACGAGGAGGACGGAGGAGCGAGATTGGCACGAGCAGAGGAAGCAGCAGGAGGATCTGGTCCCTCCTCTTCCCTCCCTGAACATCCTGCTCCTGACTGTAACCAAATTCTCCCTCCATCCTCCCTCCCTGCCTCACACCGTGTTTCCTACTTCCCTGCCCTGTCCCCCAGACTGGTCCCTGGACCCTTCCCCGGGGGGGATCCGCTCTCCGAGCTGCGCCCCGTGGTGGCGACGAGGATGACCACCGAGGGCCCAGAAAGGGAGGAAGGATGAGGAGAATGAGAAGTGAAAGGGCGAACGAACAACACACACCCATACTTTACCCATAAGGGGGTCGTTGGGAGGAGGACTGGCTGTGGGTATGGGTGCGGGTTGTCGGACCCTAGGGAACGCTCCCGTTCGAGCGGGGACCCCCATCCGAAAACACACACCCATAGCCCTTTCCGACCCC